GCAGCTGAACACAGCTTAACATCACTAACTATCATTGTTTCAGTGACAACAGAAAGCTGACGTGTACCTCTCGTCGTCGGGGAGAAGCAGCCAACGCAGGATGGTCAGGATCCTTCTCTCCAGAGGAATCACCCTACACACAGACACACACACACACACACACATAGACACACGCACACACACGCACGAGTGTAAATCAGCTGCCGGGACTCGTCAATTGCGTCTGTTGTGAGAGAGTGTGAGGGACTATTGTCCCGTGTCTGTGTCAGTCAGTCTCAGGATGTGAGACGAGGCCTCGTGCTCATTAGGTCACGGATGTGTTTGAAAATACTGTGAATCCTTCACAAAGTTGTAAAAGAGTGAGAGAATACACAAAGTGTGTGAAAACGTGAAATGACACACAAACATAGTATTACTACGAAGGTGTTTCAATGTGTTAAACAGACTTCATCACTCTTTTTTGTTTGAATTTTCCAAAGTTATTTTAGCTTCTTCATTCCGGCACTTCTGTGTATTGTGTTATTTTGATATGATGCTAAATGAAAATTCAAATAAAAATATAAATGCTGGGATCTGGGAGATTCACACTGTTCATTTATCAGCTCATTGATTTTCACGTGTAGTTTCTGAGACTTCAGAATAAAAACATGTTTTAAAACAACTCAAACACAACGAATCGTATTATTTCTCTTCAGAACTTCCTGTAACCTTCAGGTCAGGTTTTGTAGATTTCAGGTCTGAAGCTAATGAAAAATATTCCAGTACCAACTTAAGTACCAAGGCCAGAAGAAAGTCCCGGCTTTCACTCCCTGCTCCTGAGCTGTGATCCAGATCTGAGACGCAGAGACACAGAGACACAGGGACACAGGGACACACAGGTTAACACTCAGAGTTAAGAACAGTCAGATCCCGTCCACTGTAAATGAAGACGGACGACGTGTCTCCACAAAATAAAACTGTTGAAAAGATTTAAAATATAAAATATGTCTGTGCAGATCGTGGAGCAGAGCTGGGGCGTTGATTCACGCTCAACCAATCAGGAGTCAGTCTCAGCTGTCAATCATTTTATTTATATCCTCAAATAATAAACACACATCTGCTAACATGGTGGAGGCAGCGGTTTTGACCTATACTGCAGCCAGCCACCAGGTGGCGGTCCATGATTTGGCTTCACGTTTAGGGAACAGTCACATCGTCCATCTTTATTTACAGTTTATGGCTTTAGGGGGGGGGGGGGCTCCCTGTGTCACTGGTGGTTCACAGTCTTTACTCAGTGACTCAACTCGAACTGATTCTCAGTTTACTCACCGGCTGCCCCCCCCACCAGCGGTGGTTCAGCTTCTCTCGGGTGCGCAGGCTGAAGGTGGCGTTAAACACTGGGTCGTGCATGGTGTTACCCACAATGCCGTGGGACTCTGGGTAAAGACCCTGTAGGGATGTGCCACAGAAGAAAACACGTCAGATAACACGGTGGAACCTGTCCCGCAGCAGGGTCACAACGTGAACAGGCCGTGAGGACATTTTGAACGCGGCTATCTGCAAACATGTGTGTTTACTTAGCCTACAAACGTACAAGTACATATTAACAGTCCTGCTTTACTGTACCTGCGAGTGTACACAGGACAGAGGCCGTCATTCAGATACTTACTGTGGCCAGGGTGTATAAATTTGGGAAGGTCTTTGACGGGTAGACTGGTCGCATGTACGGCGCTGATGTGCCACACGATCCTGCAGGAGACACGACACTGTTTAGAAGCTGTTGTAGGTTCGACAGAAACAGATGGTGGAGACGGAAGCTTTAAGAAATGCTCAGACTTCAGCAGAAGAAAATTCAACATCCACATTGTTAGAGACAGAAGTTCTGACACGAAGACATGAAGTGTCCTCTGCAGATCCTTGAAGGACTCTGTAGATGATCATCATAGACCTGGACGTGCTTTCTGCAGCAGATAATCACATCTCGTCTTGTGGAACGTGGACGAGAGCTTCTCTAACATTCACAGTCCCGGAGCTTCACGATCACTGCGACTGAGTTTGGGTCACATACTTACTGAGCTTCTGTATGTTGGGAATGACAGATTTTCCCTTCTTCAAGTACGAGGCTCTGAATCCGTCCACGGACATCATGATGAGGGGAGGACGGATGAAGCTGAGCAGCACAAGGACGACGAAGAAGAGTCAAAGACAAGATAAAATATAAAAGATCAAAAGTTGTAGATCTAGATAATCTAGATAATAATGATAATAACAAATGGCTGACTGTGGATAACGTTATGTTAGTAATAGTGACAGGAAGTAGAAGAACTGCTGAGTCCCGACTCACCCTGCAGGACATTCAGGACTCCTGATCTCCTCACAGTCCTCTTGCACCCACGAGGTCTCACCTCAGAAGGAAACGAGAGGACACTGTTATCACCGACCTTCATGCACGTTCGTTTTCCTCTCGTGGACAGAACGCGATACCTTTGCAGAGAGATCTGTAGTTGGAGCAGCAGTCTCCTCTCTCCAGACAGTCCTCTGAGCAGTGGCAGGCATGGTCGTCGTTCCTCTGCTCCTCACAGCGATCCTGCGAACACTCGAAGCCTCCCGCTGTCACACACCACACGCCAAGGTCACTGAATTCACTTTATCACAAAATTCACAACGAGGCCGAGCAACGTGACTCGAGACAATGAACAGTGACTCATTTAATCTCACGGCTGTTACAAATGATCCAGTTACAAGAAACTTCATATTTTCAAGATGCAGCCACGGTCTAAATTAGCATCAGATGAAAACCACATTTGATCAAAGTCTTTGTCCTCATTACACACAGAGTCTCTCCTGCAGCTCAGTCGTCCTTTTAAAGAGTGGGACTTCTTCTCTCGATAACATTTTACTTCTCTGATGATATGAAGTAAGAACATTTTTAACTCTGGTCATATTTTATTTTCCTTTAACTTGTGTCTGTCGAGGCCTGATGTGTCGTCTCCTATTGTTGTCGAGCGAAACACACACACACACACACAGACACACACAATCCTGCTGCCTCACATAAGCTGGATCACCAAATGTGGATTATTCCACTGCTCGACAAACGTTCACATCTGCTCGTTTTCTCTTGATCTACGTCTTCAGGACTACTTACTAAACGACTGAAAGGTTTTTAGTTCCAGATCTTTCCTGGACGACACAGTGACGTAGAAGGAGAAACCAGGAGAACGTGGATGTGGTGCCACACCGTGTCGCACTGACCTGTTTTCAGACAGTGCTCGTCGAAGTCCGAGCAGCAGCTGTAGTAGGTTTTACACAGATTGTCACACCTGCATCCCGGAGGTTTGGCCTCCTCTAGCTCGAAGCACCTCCCCTTACAGGAGCCCGCTGAGCTGACCCACTCTGAGATGACTGGAGGGAGGAGGAGACGCACAATTACACACAACTGCCGCAACACGCACGTCTTGTCCATCGACTTTAGTTGACAACGTGGTTCAAAATGTAGAACTGTTTGAATTGAGAATGTTTCGGGGCGGAGCTCACCTTTAGTGTGAGGCGGGGGGTTGTCTCCTCCCTCTGCCGGCCGGCTCGCTTGAAACACGTAAGCTCTGCAGACGTTTGAACCCCACAGGCCGATCGCCACCACTACCTGCAGAACAACACACACACTGCTTTATGATCAGCAGCTCAGGGGCCAGTTCTCGCTCAAGGGTCTTAACTGACGATGCTGGACCAGAGCAGGTCACCGTCCCGACTCGTTGCCCAAACAAGGAGTTTTTATTTGTGTTCACGTCTCACCAGAGGGGTCAGAGGTCAACGGGCAGCCAGGAATGGCGACCCTGGAGAAGTGTTTCCCGTGATTCCACTCCTTGTATAGAGTCGGAGAGAGGAGCCGGCAGATAACTGATAAAGACTCGTTTCGTGTCACACGACACGTTGATGTGTCACAGTCTGAGTCTGAGTCTGAGACTGAGTCTGAGACTGAGTCTGAGTCTGAGCCTGAGTCTGAGTCTGAGTCTGAGACTGAGTCTGAGTCTGAGTCT